CCCCAAAAACTCCAAGAGGCCTCCTAGAGGCACCCGAGAGGCACCCAAGAGGCCCCCGAACGGCCTCAGAGAGCTCAAGATGACCTCCAAGATGGCTCAAGATAACTCAAGCTGGCTCCCAAGATGCTCAAAGAGGCCCCAAGACCGCTCCAAGGCGGCTCAAGATGGCCACGGAGCCTCCCCAGGAGGCCGCCAAGAAGCCAACATCCTTCGACTATGCGTGTCTCTTCCTCTCTCCCCCCGTCGGGCCGTCAGCTCTCGTGGGCATCGTTTCTGGATGGGCTGGTGGGGATCTTGTTGGTCGCAGCCGCAAACAAAGGCGCAGGCGGCGTCAGAGGTCGAACCGGGCCACGGGCGGAGCCTAATTACCCAGCGAGCGCACCCACGGCTGCCGAGGCTGCCGCCGAGGGAGACTGAGTGGCGCTGGGGGCTGAAGGCTGGCTGCAGAAGCTGCCAGGAGAGCCAGGCGGCTTGCGCGCAGGCGTCCCAGAGGCGAGACCACCGGGAAGAGGACGAATTGTACCTTGTCGCGCCAGGCGCCAGAGGTATACGTGCCTCCGAACGTGGCCAAGCGCGGGGCTGCGCCAGCAGGCCAGCGTACTAGGCTGCATGACAACAGGGACAAACTCACATGGCTGACCAGGAAGGCTACACCACTCCTGGACAATCCACGAAGGGGCGCGTCCCACCATGCCGCGGCCAAGAATTAATGATTCCGGAGGTAGGACCCCACACGAGAATCTATCTAGCTGGCCCCTCGCTTCCTCCTCGTCGCCTTGGCGGAGGCGTCCTCCCGCCCTCTGGTGCGCCTTCTCTCCTCTTCGTCCTCTTCGCCCTCCGTCTCCTCCTCATTCTCGTCCTCCCCCCTCTCCTCCTCCTCCTCCTCCTGCTCCTCCTCCTCTTCCTCCTCCTCATCCTCCTCATTCTCCGTCTTTCCCTCCTCCTTCTCCTCCTCCTCCTCGCCATCCTTATCACTGTCCCTGTTTCATCCTCCTCCTGCCTGTTCTTCCCATGCACCACCCCTGCCTCCTGGCCGGGGCAAATCGATTTTCCTCGGCGCCGTTGGCGCCGCGGCGGGCATGGGCGCGTTCTCCGATGGCCGGATCGCGAAGCCGTCGGGACGGTCCCGCAGGCGAGGCCGTTGGGACAACCACGCGAGCCGCTGGGGCGCGGACACAAGGGTTTCCCCCTGCGCCCAATTCGGCCGCCGATCAGTTACAACTGGCGGCCCAGACGCAAGGGTTTCCCCCTGCGCCCGGCTGGGCCGCGGTTGAGTTACCACCCGCGGCGCCTCCTCCTCCCCAGATGGCTCGAGGGAGTGGCTCGTGAGTGCCTGTAGCATGCCAGCTCGAGATTCCAGCTCCTCCCAGGAGATGGGGCGCCCTGGTCCAAGCGCGAGCGCGAGTCATTCACAGACGAAGACCCCGCCCAAAACATCCACACGCTTCAGGCCTGATGAGCCCAAGCGTGCCCCGCTCGGATTCGTACATGGAAGCAGATACACCAGAAGAAGGGATTCCCGCTGGAGACGTCCTCGCGATTCACTCAAAAACGAGGCTCCCCCTCGAGACGTCCTCTAGATTCAAGCCTGAGGAGGCCAAAAGTGACGACAGTTCCAGCTTTCCGATGACCCCGCTCGGATTCGCACATGGACGCGGGGGCCCCAGAGGGAGGGGGTCTTGGGTTCACTCACAGACGCTCCCGCTCGAGATTTCCTCCATATTCAGGCCAGATGGGCTTAAGAATGGTGGCAGTCACAGGTTTCCGATGACCTCGGATTCGAACATGAAGTGCAGGCCCCACAGGGAGGGGGCTCCCTCTTGAGACTTCCTCGCGATTCACTCACAGACGAGGCTCCCTCTCGAGACTTCCTCCGTATGCAGGCCAGAGGAGCCCGGACATGACGACAGTAACAAGTTTCCGATAACCCGCCTCGGATTCGAACATGATGTGCGTGCCCCATAAGGGGGGAGCTGCCGCAATCCACTCACAGACGAGGCGCCCTCTTGGTCGATGATCTCGGTGGGCTGGTGGTAGTGATGACGATAACGATGTTCGATGGTGATGAAGACGGCGATGATAGTGATGGCCAGTGATCATGATGTGGCCCTGGCGTGCCGATGAGTACATAGTGATGAGAAAATGTGAGTGAGTCAGAGAGTGAGTGGGTGAGGATGATGATGATGATCGATGGTCATGCTGGGATGGTGGTAGTTATGTTTATGGTGGATGATGCTGATGATGCTGATGGTTGCGATGCTTATGCTGAGTGGAATGCCGATGCTGCTGCTGCTGAAGATGATGATGATGATGAGGAGGAGGATGATGATGATGCTGATGATGAGGATGCTGACGGTGGTGATGATGATGGTGATGATGATGGTGATGGTGATGATGATGATGATGATGATGATGATGATGATGATGATGATGATGATGATGATGTAGTGGGATGGCAGATGATGGCTGTTGATGATGCTGATGATGATTATGGTGATGGTGATGGTGATGGTGGTCGTGGTGATGGTGATGATGCTGATGCCGATACTGATGATGATGACGATGACGATGACGATGACGATGATGATGATGATGATGATGATGATGATGATGATGCTGATGATGATGGATGATGATGATGCTGATGATGATGATGATGATGATGATGCTGATGCTGATGATGATGATGATGATGATGATGATGATGATGATGATGATGATGATGATGATGATGATGATGATGATGATGTAGGTGGGTTCCCGTTTCTGCGCGGGGTGTCCAAAGAAAGCACGATCCCCACTTAGGATGTGGGGGAACGCAAATAAAGATGGGGTCGAGGGCTCCAAGCGTGAATTGCTGCAGAGTTCTGGGGCTAGCTTTCGCCGGCAAGGTCGCGGACAGGCCAGCCACGATTCCCATCGACAATCTTGGCGCTATCCGGGCGGCCAAAAGGCCCCGACCGACTAGAGCAGAATGTAGCTAGGAGCATGTACTCGTGTGCGCAAGTGTTCGGCAAATCGTTTCCTGGTCGTGCGTTTGTGTAGCGCGCTGAGCACGTTAAGGCGCACAAGACCAACGAAGCGTACCAGAACCTCACCCTTGAGCAGCGTCTTGCCACAGACGCCAAAATAGCAGCACACGCCTTCGCGAATACATCTGTCACACTTCACCCAGGATGGCTGCCAGAGTTCGCCGATAAAACGGACCAGTGTGCGACTGGCACTGGCAGTCTTGTTCGACTCATCGCCGCCGTGATGCGGTACTTCGAGCAAGGGGAGCGTTGGAGACGCCTCCACATCTGTCGCCGAGGAAGGAACGTGAGAAGGTAGGGGTGGCACGAGTGGTCAGATCTGACCTCGGAATTCAATGTAAAACGTGCTTGTCCATCTTGCAGGGCAGCTCCAGAGATTGGCCGCTCACGCGTTGTCGCGGCACACCGCTGTTTGTCCGAGCTCAGGTCCCCTTGCGCCAAGGCCACGTCCAGGGCCTTGCGCAAGGGGACCGGCCCGCATCAGCATCTGCAGAAGCATGCTGCACGTGTGATTCCAGCCGAGTGAATCACATCCACACGTCGCGCAGTTCAGTCCGAAGCCACCAGCGTTTCGGTGCGGCCCGACCCGAATTCCGAGTGCGGCGATAAGTATCAGGGGGACGTAAGACCCGGGTACAGAGGACTCGGAAATCCCCGACGAGGTCGTCAACAAAAATGACGAGGCCGAACCTGCATTTTGACGAGGCCTCCCGCTGCAGACATCCCACGAAACTCCTACTCGTCAAAATCCGAGTCGCGGTCGTCAAAAAACGATGTCGAACCCGAGTCCTGGCAAACCCGGGTCTTACGCTCCCCCGAAAGTAAAGTGTGGCATCCCTCTTCGAGCGAGTCCGCTGGCGAGCAGCTGCGCGGAGTGGTGATCGGGGCCCGGCAGGCGGAGCAAGCAGCAGAGGGTAACGCCTCTGGATGTCGCCGCTGGGCCCAGTCAGGAATCATGAGACAGGTCCGCCTCTTGACGTTCTTCTTCTTCTTCTTCTTCTTCATCTTGATCTTCTTCTTCTTCTTCTTCTTCTCCATCTTGATCTTCTTCTTCTTCTTCCCTGGGGATCCTGGGGACACCTTGGGCCAGGGACACCCTTGGCAGCAACCGGTCTTTGTTCAGCATGCCCCACATGCGGAACATCTCCCGGAGCGTCCTCATCGGCAGCACGCAAGGAGTGGCCCGAGGCACGAGTGACCTGTGGTGCGCGGCTCGCCGATCGTTGCCTGCGATACGGTAGAGGCGGCCTCTGTTCGGGCCGGGCGAAAGGGGGGGATAGCAAAGGGGGGGTTTGAGAATCAGCTCGCGTAGCTGATTTTCCCGGCGCCTCCCGGCGCCGGAGGCGGCTATGTATCGAGGAATGGGCCCCTCGGTGAGGCCGAAACCAGCTGCATGCAGCAAATTTCGTAACCCCCCCTTTCCCAATCCCCCCTTTCGCCCGGCCCGAGCTTGGGCCCCCCCCCGCCCCCCGCGCCACCCGACGGCCGCGTAGCAGAGGTCACTCTGGCGAAGGGCCACTCTTGCGTGCAGCGGACCTCAGCGCCCAGGGCGCCGCCGGCGCGATCACCGGCACGCCCATGGCGTAGACGTCGCGGAACTTGATCTGGTACAGCTCGCTCGGCATGTACAGGGCCGCCGTGTTCGCCGCGAGGCTGCCCCAGGACTCCCACGAGCGGGCCGCCACGTCACCGCCCAGGCTCCCGCGCAGGAACGAGTCCTGACGAACCAACAACACACACACCCATACCCACAGGGGGATCGGAGAGGGCTATGGGTGCGTGTTGTCGGATGGGGGTCCCCGCTCGAACGGGAGCGTTCCCCAGGGTCCGACAACCCGCACCCATACCCATAGCCAGTCCTCCTCCCAACGACCCCCTTATGGGTATGGGTGTGTGTGTGTGTGTGCTGTTCTTTCGTCAAGTCCAGCCAGGTCACCCGGGCTGGCTGCGGGCCGTCGCCGAGCAGCCTCAGCAGGAGCCCGCGGAGCACCGCGCCGGCCGGCAGGCGCCAGAACGGGCTGCGCAGCACGACCAGCGACACCAGGCCCTCGCCGGGCGGGGAGTGGCCTGTGCCGTCCCAGTGCGCCAGGCCTGGTGTGTCGACCCAGGGGACCGCCAGCCCGAGCTGCCAGAACAGCTGGATGACCATGTGCTGGTCAGAAGGGCAAAAGCAACGGCACAGGCGTGAGCTTTCGGAGGTCCGCGCGGATTTCTTGGGTTGGCGCTGGACCCCCGTTTGGCGCGCGGAGCGCCCCAGGGGCGGCGCCGGAGGCGCCGCCAAGTGGGTACGGCGTCGATCCAGGAAATCCGTGCGGACCTCCGAACGGTTCTGTTCGGAGGCGCCGCCAGGGGGGTCCAGGCGCCGACCTGACAAGTCCGCGCGGATCTCCGACAGTTTCCGCTCCAAGAAGCTCGCGCAACGCTCCGACGATTTCTGCCTGTGCCGCTCTTCTCTCTTCGGCTGGTGGCACGTCCAGATCACGTCGCGCCTGCCGCCCTCGGGCGCGCTCTGCTGCTGGAGGCGGCTGGGAGAGTCTGAGCTGGGCAAGCCCAGAGAAACAAATCGGCCAACACGGGGGGGGGGTGGGGGGGGCGATGTCGAATGCGTTCGAGATCGGTCCAGGGACCCCTCCCCGGGTTGAAGCTGACCCTTTGTTCGAGACGCGTCCAGCCGTGGCGACGAGGGGACCCTGCCCCCGCCCCGCCCGCCAGCAAGAGCCAGGGCCGCAGGCCACCTCGGCCCCCACCCAGCCGGCTCCAGCGCCGCTGCCCCTCGCGCGCCCAGAGCGCCAGGTCCGCCGCCAGCTCGTCTCGCCACCCGCGCGGCACGTCCTGCATCAGCGCCATGCCGAGGCCCACCAGCATGGGCGCCGTGACGGGCTCCTCCGCCCTGCGGCGCAGCATCCAGCACCAGACCGCCTGGGGAGAAGCTCGATGCACCTTGAGATCCGAACGCAGTTTCTTGTCGTGGACAGCGGGCGTTTTCGTCGGGGTTCGGGCCCTGGGGCCATCGCGAGTCGATCCAGCTCTGAAGACTGCAGTAGCAAGATGGGGTCTAGGGATCCATTCGTGATGGTGAGCGTTTTCTCATTCGGCGTTTCGACATTGGGCGGAAGGGGGGGGGGAGGAGGGGGGGGGGGATCTGGCTCCAGACCTCTGCCTAATGCGACTGTTTGCGGCAGTTCGTCCTATGGAGGAGGCTCCACCTGCTCGAAACAGGCGCCCAAAACAGCCAAGATATACTCCATGGGTGGGGGGGGTGCAAGGGCCCGCGCCGATCGGCAAAACAATGAATAACAAAACGATCACATGTTCGGCGATGTTCAGGTTTTTTCGCGACGTCGGATCTCAGAGTAATTGTGCACCACGCCGTCTGGCTGGCAAGAGGGCCAGGGAGCTCGGCGAAGGAGTTCGGTATGGGCGCTCCAGCATCCCGCGGCTTGGGAAGCTGGTGCCTTAGACGATGCAAGAAACGCTGGGGGCGCTAGTCTGTTTTCATAATCAATTTCTTTGTTTACGCTATTTTCGGGCTATTCGTTTTCCGTGTTGGGGAATCTCGTACGCGCCGTTTTCGCTTCGGCTACGATGTGTACTGCCGTTTGTTGTCTTTGTTTTGGGCTGCCGCTTTTTGTGAGTTTCCGTTTTGGTTGGCCGAAAACGAAACGTGGAAAACGGACCAACAAACGCTTCCCCCCAGCCCTTTAACATCAGCTCAGCTCTGGAGCGCGTGTGCACCGAGCTCCTTGGCCAACCGGACGACTTGTTGCATGGTCCGAGCCCCTCTCGGCGACACGTAAGAGTGACCCTAGGCAAGAGTGATCCCTGGTGCGCGGCTTCAGGGCGGGGGGGTACGCGAGGGGGCCAAAACCGAGCGTGCAAGCCGCCGCTGCCGCTTCGCGCTCCGCGGTTGGGGGGGCCGCACTGGGCCCGCAGCAAAAGGTCACTCCGGCGAACGGTCACTCCTACGCCTTCTCGACCCTCCCGCGCCTGGAGCATGCACGCGAACACGTCGGCGTCCAGGGCTCCGGGCAGCTGCGCAACCGCCTGCCGGAACAGGTTCGAGTAGCCCACCACGTCCTCGGCCCCGCCGCCCTCCAGGCGGTGCCAGCTCTCGCTCCTGGAGGCCTCCCAGGTGGGGTCCGAGCAGCTCGCCATCGCTCGGACGTCCATTCACCGTGCATTCTCTGGCTTTGCGCGCTCAGCTCTCGCACGGTGATCCAGAGATGCCCCTCGATGGTCCTCGCCGAGAACGAACGCACACGTCCGAGCGATGCCAAGAACAGATGGGGCTTGAGGATCGCGCCGCACCGCCAAGGCATCCACGACGCCGGCGATGCATCGGCGACGCCGGCATGGAGCACATCCGGCTCCGCATCGGGCGCATCGCCGATGCATCGGCTGTGCGGCGCGATCCTGCGACCCCACCTGCTCCGACCCCACCTGGGAGGCCGAGAGCTCCAGAACCGCATGAACTCCTTCACGCTGTCCGGGTCGCACGGGTCGCCGCCGTGGGCGCCCTGCACGCGCAGCGCCTGGCAGAGGTAGAAGGTCCCGGCGAATCGCACGTCCAGCGTAACCGTCGCCCTCGCCCCGCCGAGCCGGACGGCCTCGCCGGCTGCACGGAAGAGCGGCGCTGGGCAAGGGTAACCGTTGGTGCGCGGCTGAAGTAGAGGACGAGACAACTCCAGAAACAGAAACTTTCAGAGTTCCGCGCGGACTACTTGGATCTGCGCTGGGGGCCCCTGGCGGCGCCTCTGGCGCCGCCCCTGGCGCGCTGCGCGCGCCAGGGCGCGCGCCAGGGAGGGGGCTCCAGCGCAGATCCAAGAAATCCGCGCGGAGCTTCAACAGTTTATGTTGACGTATGCGGTTTTTGAAAGGGGCCCAAGGAGAACACACAGAAAGACATAGAAATCCTAGGATTCCTGGTATTTTTCCACGTGCTCTGGGTGTTCGTCTTCCCCCTACACTTCCCATACTTTCATATATATATATATATATACTAGAACCATTGCGCGCGCTTCGCGCGCGCTCAGGTTCTAGCCCAGGCCTGGGGGGCCGCTGGACGATCTTGGACAACGATATCAAGCACAAGCGCGACGGCATCTGAGGAGCTTCTGGGGTGTTCCGCATGCTTCGTCGTGGGAGCCCCTGCGCGGGCTCGCACCAACAGTCACTCTGGCGAAGGGTCACCCTGACGCGTAGCCTGCCTCGGTCAGCATCGAGACCAGCCCGAGGCACTCAGGCGCGTGATCGCCCACCACGGTCAGCCGCAGGCGCACCGCGGCCGCGGCAGGGGCCACCTCGGCCTGGCCGCCGCGGCCCGCGCTCTCCCCCCTCGACAAGGCTGCACCCAAGCGGGAACCCGGACATCTCTTCGACGTCGGTGCGCGGCTCGCCGGCGGCCTGCGTGCTTGGGCTCAGCCCCGCAGCGCTGGTACGGCTTCGGGCTGCTCGCAGACGGTCCCCTCAGGTGGCCTCACCTGGCCCAAAACAGGCCCCCCCGAGTGGCCCGGGGGCAGTCGCATCACCTCAGCCGCCAGGCTGCTGAGACCGCCCTGGACTGAGTACTCGGGGGGGCAGGCTGAGGCCAGGTGGGGCTACCTGGGGGGGCTGTCCGCGCGCGGCCCGAAGCCTTGCCACGCAACGCCCCGCGGGAGCCAGGGCAAGAGCTTGGGCAACCACAGGTCAGACTTCTGAAGCGCCAGCTCGGGGTCAGAGTTCGAGGGATGTCCGCAGGTCCGATATCCCAGCGCCGACTGGACCTGCAGGGGTAGGGCCCTGAGATCCGGCGTCGTGGCAAATTGCAATATCGCGATCAATCGCTCCCCGGAGTCCTGGACCCCATCTTTCTGAGACATCTCTCGCACCAGACCGGCCTGCGATGGCCCTGCAGGGGGCCCGCAACCTGGCGGGAACGCCAAGGTGGGACAAGAGTGCAGCGCCCAAAATTTCGGGGGGCCCATGACTGCGGAGGGAAGAACATGAGCATACGCTTGGTACGGCCCGCGCAGATTTCTGGGATCTGCGCCGGGCCCAGCTCCCTGGCGCGCGGAGCGCGTCAGGGGCGGCGCCGGACGCCCGCCGGGGGGCTCCAGCGCAGATCCAAGACATCCGCAGGACTGCTCAAAGTTTAGGGCTGCGCCGTCGCTTCTGCTTCGCAGGTACAAGTCAAGCGAAAATGCAAAAGTCATCAAACACGCAACAGCACGGGTCCCAAACCAATCAACCATGTCAATGCCGCTCTTGGAGCGTGGGGGCCACAGACCCTGCCCCAGAAACGCGTCCTGAAGAAGGGGGTCGATGAGTGGACGCATGCCCACGTCGGTGATACGCAAAAGTCACCATCGGCAAGAGTGCCCTTTGGTGCGCGACTTTCGGGGGGCGCGGTGGTGACAACCCAGAGTGCGGAAGCCGGAAGCCGCTGCTATCGCATCGCATTCGGCCATCTGGGGACCCCAGTGCGCCCGCACCAAAGGTCACTCTGGCGAAAACTCACTCTTACGTGTTGCCTCAAGTTACTTACCATCGTGACTCAGGAACACATCCGATACTTAACTTCGCGCACCCAGAAACATATCGAAACCATGCCTGCCCGACACCCCCAGCGAAGCGTCGAGAGAGTATCGCCTCCAGGGAACGACACGCGAAAACCCTCCAGTCTCGGCACTGCCCTCGTGCTCGACACTCTCCCCGGCGATCGAGGCTACAGCAGGCTGGAGCATCGTCAGTGTAGCCGGCCGTCCCCACAGGCAGAGGTCACGCTGGCGAAGGGTCCCTGCTGCGTGCAGCCGGCCTCGACCAGTCGGCCCAGCAGGCCTCCCGCGCGCTGTCGCAGGGCAGCAGGCGCCCCAGCCAGCCCAGCGCCCCGCGGGGCTGCAGGTCGAGGGCCCCGCCCGCGCCCGCCGGCCAGAGGCTCTCGTTGCCGCCGCCGTCGTCGGAGGGCAGAAGAAGAAAAGCCTGCACGCGCGTGAACGTCCCAGACCCCCTCGGGCCACGACGCGGCTCCCGACGGGAGGTTTTGCGCCCTCTTTGGCCTCTGGGGGCCCTTTGGCGGGCCTTGGGGCCGTCAACACAACAGCTCGGGTTGAAATGCTGGTCCCGGGGAGTGGTTCGAGACCTTTGATGGTCGACGTTCTGTATGTATGTATGTATGTCTGTCTGTCTGTCTGTCTGTCTGTCTGTCTGTCTGTCTGTCTGTCTGTCTGTCTGTATGTATGTATGTATGTATGTATGTATGTATTTATATACATATATGTATACATCTATCCTTTTATTCCCTACCTAGGCTCTGCCTGGAAGGGTTCTTACTCTCTGGGCTTAAAAGGGCCGGGCAGTGGAAAGCGCCCCAGGCGGTTCCCCCAGTATCCGCCCCGCGGTTCCCCCAGTTACGCCCCCTTAGCTTAGCGTTGCTTATCTCATCTTAGCTTAGCTGATTGCATCTTAGCTTAGCTTAGCTTCATCTCAGCTCCAGTTTATCTTAGCTTAGCTTACCTTCATCTTAGCTTCGCTGAGCTTTCGCACAGCAGAGCACAGCATAACATAACATAGCGTAGCATGGCGTAGCGCAGCACAGCATATCATAGCATAGCCCAGCATAGCATATCATAGCGCACCATAGCATAGCATAGCATGGCGCAGCGCAGCACAGCATAACATAGCACAGCGCAGCATAGCATAACATGTCATAACATAGCATAGCACCGCATATCCTAGCATAGCATAGCATAGCATAGCATAGCATAGCGCAGCGCAGCACAGCACAGCATAGCATAGCATAGCGCAGCATAGCATGGCATAGCGTAGCATCGCATAGCAACTAATGCTGTTTTTCTAGGGGCTCCAACTTCTAGGTAGGGTCGCACTGGGGTAATTTCTATTACCCGGACACCCCCCCCTAAACAGGACCCCCCCAGGGACGCCCTGGACGCCTTTTCGGACGTCTCAGCGGCCCCTGGACGCCCCTGGAAAAGGTCCGCTGGCCTTTCCGAGCCCTCCAGGGCGCTTTGCCAGGCCTTGCGAGCAGACTCCAGGCGATCAGAGGGGTCATCGGAGAGGCGCAAGAGAGACCAAGACAACATAAGAGCGCTCCAATAGGAACTTCGATGGTCTGAAGACGGCCCAAGAGGCCCCCAACACGCCCCAAGAAGCTGTTAAGAGAGCCTCGAAGAAGCAAACATCGTCCGATTCTCTCGCGAAAACGTATAAGCTTAACATATCCGCTGTTTGGGATGTCGCAGCGTTCGCGACGGCCCGATGGGCCCCCGAGATCGCCCCAAGACGGCCCAAGAGCCCCCCCAGAGGTGTGATGACGGCCCAAGAGGGCCCTAAGATTGCCCCAAAGAACCCGAGACTGCCCGCAAGAAGCCCAAGATGCCCCCAGAAGGCTCCCAAGAGAGACCCACGAAAGCCATGGGAGACCCCCAAGAAGGCCATTGGAGGCCCCGAGAGGCCCCTAGAAGATGGCACAGAAGGCCTCTGGAGGCCCGCAGCTCCCCAAGAAGGCCAAGAAGGCCCCGGGACGGCCCAAGAGGGCCCCAGGACGGCCCAGAAGAGCTCCCAAAACTCCCAAATGGCGTTTTCCTACGAATTACATCGAGCCGACTCGACGATCTTGGTTCCACGCTTGAGGCTCGAGGTTTAACTCGATCGAGAGAGACAGGCAATGGATCCAGATTCGCAGTTCGACGACCGAAGATTTCCTGAGTGCCTAGAGCCTCCCAGGCATTCAGGAAGCTACCAAACAAAAACGAGTTCTTCGGAGCTGCTGCGACTTCTTCGGCGTGTCATGGGAACGCTCGTTACTTCCTCAAAGGACCATCGCGCGCAAAAAACACCATTATTTCCCCACTCCTGCGCACAAGCATGCAAGCGCATCGGGCGAACGCGGTGTCAACAGGCACCAAGGATGTCAGAAACATGAGCTGGTCGCCCGTCCAGGCTTCGAGGTCCCCCCCGCTGAGTCCATTCAAGATGCCCCCACGCAACTTTCTTAATATCCACGTTTCCGTGCGGTTCCCCGAAAGACCTGTCCGCTTCAAGTTCCATGAACCTTGAGGGGACAACCCCCGTCTCCAAGAAGACACCTGTGCTCAACAGCTTCCGTCTCCAAGACACAACCCAATACTCAACAAACTCCCGCTGCAAGTGAAAATCCGTAAATAATCGATTCGCATCCCGATCCGCAGGCCCGCCACCCGCCCGCCCGCCCGCAACCCGCCAGCCCGCCGCCCGCTCGCCTTCCGTGTAGCACGCACCACCCTTTACTCAACAACTCCCGTCTCCAAGACAACACCCTGTAGTCAACAGCCTCCGTCTCCAAGGCAAGACCCAGTACTCAACAAGCTCCCGCTGCAAGTGAGAACCCTTATAGAGTCGATTGAAATCCCGACCCGCCCGACCGACCGACCGCCCGCCCGCCGCCCGCTTGCCTTCCGTGTAGCACGCAGCACCCCTTACTCAACAACTCCCGTCTCCAAGACAACACCCTGTAGTCAACAGCCTCCGTCTCCAAGACAGCACCCAATACTCAACAAGCTCCCGCTGCAAGAGAGCATATCCTTAAATAGTATATAAACATCCCGACCCGCCCGCCCGCCACCCGCCCGCCCGCCTGCCGCCCTCCCGCCAGCCTTCCGTGCAGCCAAACACCACCCTGTACTGAACAACTCCCGTCTCCAAGACAACACCCTGTAGTCAAAAGCATTCGTCTCCAAGACAACACCCAGTACTCAACAGCCTCCCGCTGCAAGAGATAATCTTTAAGGAGTGCGCTCAATTGCCGACCCGCCGCCCGCCCGCCCGCCCGCTGCACGCCCACCCTCCCGCCTCTCTATTCATCACCTCATCATCTTCCTCTCCGTCCACCTCACCCGCCCCACCCGTGTACACGAAGACAAGACTCTCGCCTTGGGACAACACATCGGGGGATTTTGAATGGAATCGACCTTTTATTTATTTATTTATTTACTTATTTATTTATTTATTCATTAAATTCTATATATGTATGTGTATACACACCTGACGTCGGGGGTTTGGGTTTCGGACCCTGAGATCCAGGCGTTGCATTTTTTCTTTCGTAGCGGTTCGCTAGCAGGCTATCGTAGTGAATGAAAAACCCACAGAAGAATAGAAGAGTCCCACAGGGCGTGGAGGGTGGGCGGGGAGCCCTAGATCGCCTGGCCCAGCAGCCGTTCCGCCGGAGAAACCCTCACAAATTATT